TTTGTATATTTTACAATTAAATTTTTTTATATATTGCTTTACAACCATTCTTTCACAACCATTCCCTAGTCCAATTCACAGTATAGTATAATTTTCCATAATATGTTTTCTACATTTATCTTTAAAAATATTTAGTGACGATGACTGTTTGATTTCGTCTGGCAACTCATTGAACAACTTAACTGCGTTATAAAATAAATTCTTTTGTGCGAACGTTGTACTATAGTTTGGCAATCTTAAATTATATTCGTTGTTTTGTCTCGTTAATCTATTGTGTACTGTATTTGTTAATATTAAATTATCTGAGAGATACTTTGGCAGAAGACCCTTTAACATATATATATATCAGGCCGCGCTAGCGTCCTATCTAAATACATTATAATGAATAAGTACAAACTAATACATATGCATTTCTACTATGAATACGTTTCATGCTATGTGTTTTAATTTCATTTAATTTTGAAAATTGAAAAAAAAAATATTTCTCGACAAATCATATTTTAAAACATCATTGCAATAAAAAAAAACTTCCAAGTAAGAATGAATATATTGATATTGAGTAAGAAAATTCGGTGAAATCGGTGAAATACTTGAATCAAACATAAACGTTTGAAAAACGTACGACGCGCGCCAAAGCATAAGTGATGTCAAAGTGTGTACAAAGAGTGAAGCAATAGTGCGTTTAATGCTATGTGCTATAGTGTCTCTGTTGATGTTGATCGCTGACGTTTATAGTGGTAGATATATATATCAGTGTATTAAACTTTATCATTTGCGCGATACTGAGCCAATTTAGGGCCTTTAACATAAAATCGATTGTTGTCAGAAATTCGCAATTCAAAATCAGTCTTATCGCTCTATTCTGTATTATTTGCATTTGCCCTATTTCCTCTTTGCTATTTGCTAAATATATCGTTGAGCAATATTGGAATGCTGGTAATACTATCGAGTTGAAAATTACTTTTTTGGTGTCGAATGTTAAATTCTTCGATATTCTGAACAACAAATTTGTTTTACTTGCTGCGTTTTTTGTAATTATTTCTGCCTGTTCATTGAGTGCTAATTTATCGTCTAATTTTATTCCTAAATACTTCACATTTGAGACTCGCTCAATACGATTTTTACGTCGGGTACAAACATTTCATTTAAGCTTTTCTTTGTTGCTATCATACAATTGGTCTTTTTCGTATTTAGCAATAATTTATTTTTCTTCAACCAGTCAGAAATCCTTGTTAAGTCTTCGTTCATTTTATTTATGGCTGTATTCAAATTGGTATGTTTCACTACTACGGATGTGTCATCAGCAAAAAGTACAAGTGAGCCATTTTGTGCTACTTTGGTTATCGAGTCGATGTAGATATTAAATAAGCTAACACCTAATGTGGTACTCTGTGGCAGGCCGATCGATAATTGGTTTTTGTATTTCGTTTGTTGTTTTCGTGTGGTTAGGTAGCTCGAGAACCACCTTAGTTCCGTATGAAGTACTCCGATTGATTGTGGTTTTTCGATCATTATTTCTCTATCGACTGTTTCGAACGCTCGTTTTAGGTCCAGAAATATGCTACCACATATTATCCCTTTTCCATGCTGACTTTCCAGCTAGCTTTCCAGTCGTTGACCACAAAGTTGATTGTCGATTTACATGAATGGTTGGCCCGAAAAGCTGACTGGTTTGGTGACAGTAACTCGTTTGATTCGATGTAGTTGACAAATTGCTCCTTGACCACAATTTCGCAGATTTTTTCTTCGATTGGTAACATATTTATGTCTCTGTGGTCAGCCGCATTTTTCGTATTCGTAATTTTCGGTATTGGTACAACTATAGATGTTTTCCATGCACTCGGAAAGTAACCCTTATGCAATGACTCATTGATTATTTTCGACAAAAAGTAGCCAACGTATTCTATGGCATGGAACCACACTTGCGAGTTGCATTTGTCAGCTTTGATGATCTTTTTCGTTAGACGTTTCGCTATTGTCGTAATTTGGTCGATGGTCGTTGGTTCGAATTTGAAAACGTGATCATTTTGTCGGAGTACGTAATTTTCACTGGTCGATGGCATTTGTATAAAGATGTAAAATTTTTGGGAATCAAACCAGGCATTAACTTTTAAGGATCAAATCGATCCAATTCGACATATTGACCAAAGTAAATCATGCTTATAGCTTATTAAAGCAAACTAGTAAATAATGAAATTAAAATATTGGCATACAAACAGTTAATTAGACCATTTATCAGAGAAGATAAAAGTAGGCTCGCAAAAATCGAAGAGTCATCACTTGAATAGCTATAATTTCTCAACCAAACGTCCTAGATAGATCCCATATCCCCACCAGCTCACATTTCTTAGCTGTGGAGATCAGCTTTGAAACCACAAATAGCTGAACTTATTGACTAAATTGACTAAAATTACCGACTTTTTGGCAATTTTGTATGAGAGGTACCCGTAAACCGATTCTTATTGGCTTCAAACTTTCTGAGGTTTCATTTTTTGGAGAAAAAATGAGATTCTGAAACTTTCATGTTGATCGCATTTGCGCAAGTTGCATATTTTGTCCTCAATTTTTGTCGACATTTTCTTGGAAAAAATTGAGGGCCAAAAACCAAACTCCTGAATCTGTTTACGGGTACCTCTCATACAAAATTGTCGAAGTTTAAGTTAAAGTGACCGATTTTTCACTATATTTTTATTATTATATTTTCACTGCCTTTATTTCAAGAAAATTCACAAAAAATAACCAATAGTACCTACGGACAACGCAGGCCAACGGTACGGAAAAGTTCGGGGTTACCAATGTAATTCTTTTTATTTTAAACTCAATTTTATATTCAATTCATGTTCATTTTCATTATTATTTTTTAACATTCTGATGTCATTTTAAATTTTAAAATTCTTTTCATGTTTGTAGCTTGATTCATTTTACATTCATTCAAATTATTTATTTTATTATATTTTTTTATTCATTTATTTTCACCAATATTAAGTGGTTTTTAAATTTTACACTTATAGTAAGAATAATTATTTTTCATTAAATAAGCAAACAACAATGCACAGTTAAAATAAGGACGTTTAAACCCTGAAACGCTATAATTTAAATATATCCCTAGATTTAAGTAATCAATTTAATAAAAGTTACTTTCAAAACGCAAAAAAAACCATTGTGTTACATTCAGGCTCACGTACCATAAATGGAACACATTTTATGTTAAAAAAAATAGAACAATTGACGTCAAACTGTGCGTAATTTTGCATTCCACATGGAATGGATCGCTTCGAAAGAACAAGATGTTTACGTTCATTTCTTCATCATCTTCATTATGGTCTGAAAAATGACACAATAGAATTGAAAATTTAAGTAAATATTTTTCACTTTTGAATTGTTGAGTGATGTTTATTTGACGAGGCTATTTAAATATGAAAATGGTTACATCTTCGCGGTATGTACAAAACACATTCCGTTCCAAAGTCGTTTCAAAGTTAAAAAATAACCACAGATGGATCGTCGTTTACATGCCATTACAAAATAAATGTTTGAAGGAAAAATATCGCGTCACGACTTTTGAATTTAGTCTCCAAGTCAAGCTTTAAAGCATTTTGCCGTCCAAAAGTCGTGATGCGATATTTTTCCTTATTGTGAATAAATTTTCACAATAGTGAATGCGAAAAACACTTTTGGACTTCGTATCCAGTAAAACTACAGCGTCCTAGCGTCACTCAAAATGATATCAGTTATTTTGAGTGCTAAATCCACGGACAGGAGCGATAACACTACTTTTGTAAGGCAATTATTTTCGGGAAAATACACTTCTGCCAGATAAATGTCATATTATTAGGAAGATGCTATTTTTTTCGTAAAACATTTGCATCCATATTTCAAAAACTCTGGAAATAGTAAATTTCCACTAAAATCCAAAAATTTCCATTTCTCCCTAATTTCACATTGTAAAATGCGATAAAATTTCAAATAACCATAAAAGGAATGTTGAAGTAATTGTGGATCCTTATTTTTTTTATTAAAAAATAATTTTTTCCAACTACCAAAGCTCTGGGAAGTGCATTTTTTATGTATTACCCGAACAAAAGTTCAATTTTATACATTCAGATATAAAAATGCCGATTATTGACCAAAATGACAACGAAGTGGGTATTTAGGTGTTGGTAGACTCTCATTTTTTTTACGAAAAAATGGCAGTTTTCTAAGACCAAAACGTCGTCAGAGGTCCATTTCACGTGTTTTCCGAATAAAAACATCATTTTCAGTGCAAAAAGTACGAGTTGAAAAATTCACTTAAATCCAGTCGGGCTGATTTTTGAGAAATCGCCTTTGGCGTGAAATTTAAGGGGGTGGATTTTCCACAAAAATCGACTTTTTTCTTTTATATCACATAAACATTGGCATGTGTGTATGGAACTTTTCGAAGGTCCTTCCAAATGAACACGACTTCTCACCATTTCACATATGAATAGTCAATATGGGTATCATATGAAAGGTCTTTTGTGACAAATTTTCGATAAAAAGTGAATTTTTTCACACAACTAATGATCTAGGGGTTTCACGCAACTTAAAATTCATCTAAAATTTCAATATTTCTCTCTTTTCTCTAAAATTCTCTGGGATTCACCAAAATCCGTATTATTTCGAAATATTTCAACATTCACCTTGAAAATTATGTTCTGGAAGTGGGTTTTGGTGGATCTTCAGGATGGATCAGACTGGGTTTGACAATGCCCTGGTCCATCCTGAGGTTCCACTTCCAGAACCAGGAGCAGTTTTGAACAATCCTCAATCCACCTCAATGGATCCTCAATCCACCAAAACCCACTTCCAAAATTTTTAGATTCAAAAAATTCTAAAAAATTCGAGTTTATAAATAAAAAGAAGCAATATCTATAGTTTGCACATAAAATGGTTTTATTTCCAGCTATTTAGTAAAATCTTTGGCCTTCGAGTTTGCGTGAAACCCCTAGCACATGATTTCACAATCACGTGTTTAGTAGGGTAGTGTATCCGGTTGTGGGCAGTCACCGGTTGTGGGCACCCCTAAATTTTTTTTGACAGATTCCAAAAATGGCGAATCTGAGTATGAGCGATTGTGTATTTTGACAGTCCATCACTTTCTGCTACAACACCGAAGTGAAAAGACGCGTTTGTTGATGTTTTACGAAAATCGGAAAAAAAATTGGCTAAAAATTTACTTTGAGAAGATTTCAGATTTTTTTTGAAGTGTTATAAAGTGAAGTGATAAACATCAAAAAGGTGAGTTTTATGCATATAAGTGTAGGATTTTCGATAAATTATATGAATCAACACCGTATCCGAGCATTTGTTGATCACCGAAAAAATTTTATGCTCACTTTCAAAATGGTTGCCATTCCCGGTTGTGGGCACCCGTTTGTATCCGGGTGTGGGCACTCTTTGTTTTCGCTTGAAACACATGTTTTTGAGCTAGAGAGTGCTATATATCGTGGTTTTTGTTATTTGTTTGGGTTTTTAATTCATTTTTATGGATTTTTAGCCATGTCAACTGCGAAAAAGTCAACTGAACCGAAAGCAATTGATGTAAATGCCCTGGTAAAGGCCATTAAGGATTGCTTGATCGACAAGAAGCAAATCAAAACGACTGCACGGTCCCATGATCTTCCTCGTAGCAGTTTGCAACGCTATCTGAAGAAAGTTGAAGAAAATTATGAAGACCTCTCAGCCGTAGCAGATGATGAATTGACGGAATTTGTTCGTGACTGCGGTCAACGTACGCCATCTAATATGGTATGTTTTTTATTTCTTTCTCCTGCTCATGTGCTTTGTTTTTAATGTTCTTTTTTGACGTTTATCAATAGGTTTTCACCACTGCCCAAGAAAAGGAACTTGTCGACTACATTTTGAAATGCGTGAACCATTATTATGGCCTGAGCATAACCGAGTTGCGTGATTTGGCTTATCAGCTTGCCAAGAAACTCGCCGTCGACTATCCGGCGAATTGGAATGAAGAAATGATGGCTGGTCGTCATTGGTATTACAATTTTATGCGCCACCACCGTCAGCTTGTGTTGCGTACGCCCGAAAAAACGTCGCTCAATCGTGCAAAAGCGTTTAGCAAGACCAACGTCGATAAATTTTGCAAAAATTGCGATACTGATTTGGACGACGAAGAAAGTGATGAATAATTTGAAAAAAGTGCCATTTTCTATTGTCATTTTTGCCCCTGAAGGCTTCAATAATTAATAAAATTTGATATTACTCAATATTTTTCAATATTTTTCAATACTTTGTTGGTTTTTACTCATTTTTATCGATTTTTTTGGGGGTGCCCACAACCGGGTACAAATTTTTTTTTGGCCAAAAATGAACACTTTGGAAAATTGGTCACAAAATTTTTTTGAGTGATGGAATCAATGCAAATTTTGCACCAAAACGTTTCTTTAGACCTCTAGCTTTCCATTGATACTCAAATGTCTGCATAATATGAATTCTGTGACAAGTTATGGCTGAAACAAAAAGCGGTGCCCACAACCGGGTACACTCCCCTACATTTCATTGTTCAATACCGACATTGAACACACCCTTCATAGCAAGCATCTAAAGCGTGTTTTGAGCTGACGTCAGCAGAACTAACTAACGTCAGCTGCTGATATTAGCTGCTGACGAGTATGCGTTGCGTTGTTTTAACGCATTTGCAGTACAAAATTCGTATTCCTTTCTGCGTGCCAAGTCAAGTTTCATTTCAACATAACATTCACTTTCGAAATCATAACATTTGAAAATTGCCGTGCCGAGACGATGCAACCAAATTGATCGTTGCACATTCGTATTTAACAAACGGCACGACAATTTTCAAATGGTATGATTTCGAAAGTGAATGTTATGTTAGTTTTCCCTACAGATGGGCGGACTATCTGATTAAGATGAATTGATCTTAATCAAACACCTAAAATTCGCGATGATTAATACGACCACTTAATCCCTTAATCGCAATTAATAATGATTAAGTGATTGTGCAAGAGATTAATTGTTCATCGGCGATGATTAACTTGTTGTATTAATCACGATGTCGCCGTGATTAACTGCACCAACTTAATCATGATTGTGTAAATAGTTAATAATGATTAAGTTGTGATTAACGAAATGATTGTGTAGATTCAGTTAATCGTCGCACGAAGTGATGGTCGGTTTTCGCCCGTAAAATTTGCGACGATTAACTGAATCTACACAATCATTTCGTTAATCACAACTTAATCATTATTAACTATTTACACAATCATGATTAAGTTGGTGCCGCTAATCACGGTGACATCGTGATTAATACAACAAGTTAATCATCGCCGATGCAAGCATCGGTCCGGATATATTTCTATGCAAGATAAATATGTCGGGCATAGACGCGTACGGACGACCGTGAACAAATAATCTCTTGCACAATCACTTAATCATGATTAATTGCGATTAAGGGATTAAGTGGCATCTTAATCATTTTAAAAATGATTGTGCAAGTGATTAAGTAATCGCAAAACGCCCACCTGTAGTTTTCCCAAATAAAAATTAAAAAAAATAAAATATTGACTATTTTTAAATGTTTGCTATGAATGTCATTTTCAGAGCGTAACGTTTGACAGATACCATTACTGACGTTAGAAGGGTGTGTTCGATGTCGGTATTGAACAATGAAATGTACTAAACACGTGATTGTGTATTACAATTATGAATAGTATTTAAAAAAAATTCACTTTGTATAAAAAATGTGGGAATTAATGTCAACAAAGAGACAAAAGAATGATTTGCCATTCAGTTGTCTCATTTTGTA